GCTTATGCAGCTGTTGTACGCAACAGTATGCAACAGTTACACAGCAGTTATGTAAACTGAGTATCTTCACTTACTGGAAATACTTGGGTAAAGCAATCATGCACTAAGGAATGTCATTGTTCTTTAGTTTCAAACCACAAAATCAGCAGATTTGAAAGAGAAGTTTCCAAGTGTCAGTAAGCTAGGACTGCTCTTTGCTCATTCAAAGTTCATTGTTAGCCATCTAAAGAATTAGATCCTTTATTTAGTCTGTACTGATTAACTTCATTCTTGACGAAGGCAGCTGCTACTGTATGTGATGACAAACCAGACTCCCTGCTGTGCTGCAAAGTTCTCTGACTAAGGGCTGGTTTCCTGCTAGCCTCAATGGCCACACAGAACGAAAACAAGAACAGATAAAAGAAAGAGCCTTTGTGAGATTGAAAAATATTAACAGTTCTCCAAATCTGTCATTTTTCTTTATCAGTTATCCAAATTATTGCCATTTAGGGCTTATTTTGTATTTTTTGTTGTCGCTGTTGTTCAGCGCTGGTTTTACTTTTTGGTTGTTGTTCCTAAAATTTATATACATTATCCAGCTGTGCTGATTTGAAAATTGGCATTTATATTTTAGTTATTGTTTGTATAGTAAAACACATGCCCATGACCCCACATCAATAAACCAGTTTATTTTTCAAGACAGGAGTGCTGTTTCAATTATCCTTTTGAAATGTTATACGTGGCATGCTGTAATTATACCTTGCCCGTATATTTTGTAAAGTTTCCCATTGAACTGAGAAACTGCATTGTGCTCACAAAAACCAGTTTGTTGTGTTCACCGCATTAAGCATGCTGTGAAAGCTTGTCCCTTGTGCTCAAAATGTAAATTGGACATAGCTAATTGCATCTACCGCTGATGATCATGTTCAGCGAGTGCAGATTTCTGGAGGGAAATGTGCCCACGCTTCTCCTCATGCTTAGATATAAGTGTGAGTCCTCCTTCAGATGTGCTTTGTTGTTGGCAAGGTTAGACTTCACTGCCAGCACTTCTTATGAAAAACAAAAACATTTTGTACTCTACTTGTTGATATAAGCCTGGAAACGTTTTGGGTTTTTTCTGTATCGGATGTAGAATACTTCTCATTACATTTTGTACAAAACCCACTTGCTGAAATCTTAAGTGATGAAACCCTATCCCTAAAGTAGAAGTGACACTATTTGCTTATGCTGTTTGTAGATTCCTTCAATCAAGACAGAGGTACAAGGTGTAACTTAAAGAGAGGTTGCAGTTCTGTGGTCAGCAGCTGCAACAGCTGAGGTAGTGAAGAGGAAAGTCCATAAAAGGGTGGGGTGCTCTTATTGAAAAGACAGCATCATTTGTAGAAGCTTTGTGTGTCCAGCCACGGGAAATGCTCAGGATGTAAACTGAGCAGGCATCTGGTGATGACAAGCTACCAGGGAGGAATTAATGACTGGCTTCACAGAAGGGGCTGTTTCGGTTAGATGTTGTATCATTCTTACTCTGCCAAAACCATGAATATGGCTCCCATTTTTGACTAAAAGAGAAATGACTAATAGTGAGTTAGATAAAACGGCCAATTGGTCTTAAAGAAGTAGATGTTGACCAGCGGTTTCAAGAAAATACCTACTAAGAACAAATCTGCATCAGTAATGAAGAAGGAACCAGGGGGCTTCTGCTGCTCAGGATGTGACAGGGAATTGGTCAGCAGTTGTTGAGCCACTGCACCACTTGTTTTGTACGTTCTTCTATTGTTACTATTATTATTATTCCCTTCCTTTTCTATCCTATTAAACTGTCTTTACCTCAGCCCACAAGGTTTAGCTTTTTTCCAGTTCTTTCTCCCATCCTACTGAGGGGGAGGGAACGAAGGGCTGCGTGGTACTTGCTGCCTGAAGTGCTGCCTGACTGGTTAAAAACAAAAATGAAGAATGATGAAACTTCAAGATATTGATTCACTAATTTTAATTACTATCAACATCGTTACTCCTTCAGAACTACAATGTTCCTATTTCTTGCATACACAACAAATGTTAAGGATTAAGACAAAGGACAGCTTGTTTGAAAATAAGTGGTTTGTAACATCATAGCTTTAGGACTTGTAGTTTAAGATAAAAGTAGTTTCAAAGTGGAAGCAACAGAATTCAGTGAAAAATAAACTACAGTTTCTGCGCAGCACAGAGCCAGACAGGCTCTCATGTATCACTGTGCAGGTAGAACAGCTGTTATAAGGGCTTGACTTACTGAAGCTGCAAGATTGGGAAGATATTAAGGGCTCCTTCTGCTATGGATTAGAGGGAGAAAAAAAGTTTTGTTTCTGCTTAAGTATAAAGGAGCTCAGTCTAAATGAAGAAAGCACTCTGTCCCATAGAACAAATAAGCAGTAGTGAGCTGAAAGAAAGTTTTCCTGGGATCTCCACTCATTTTTTAGTCAAGAGATTTCATGCTCAGTTGAATGTTAAGAGGCAGATTATCTAGAAACACACTTCACTTTTGCTTATGTACTGCATTTGTTTTTTTTCTGTTAATAGCAGAATATTAAAGCTATTTTTTTGGTAAGCAAAAGCTTCTGGTCCAGCAGAAACCCACCTCTTCATCTGCTTTTTACATATATTAGCAGTTGCACATATTTATGTAACATATAATCTCTGGTTACAGACAGATTGCAATGGTAGAAATTGAGAATTATGACTAGAGCTCTTTGAAGAGATTAGGATTTGCAGTTTGTTTTCAACACTGTAGAAAAATATTCAGGGCTCTTCCTTCTTTTGTTAGTTTTAAAACTTCCTGACAAACTTAATCTGATTTTCTGACGTGCTGCTTTACTGAAGGCTAATTTCTATTCAGCATATGCTTCAGTACAGTGTTTGTGTTCACAGCATTGCCTGGGACAACAAAACAGTCTTAAATCTTTATCTTTGCTTGCTTCCAAGTTCTCAAAAGAGAGAATATATTTGATCAGTGCTTTAAAATACTGTGTAGAAAATGAGAGGCAACATGCATAAAAATATAAATGAGCACGTTTTCATCAGGGCCGATGAGCACATCATCTCACACACTACCTCTTGATTTGAATGGTATTCCACTTGACAATGGCAGTGAAACTGTCTATGTAGAGGTTAAGAACGACAGTATTTGCTTTTACCAGTGATAGTCTCCTTAACAATTAATGGCAGTAGAGCATATCACAAAGGGAAATGTAAGATCCTTGCAAGGTGGGATGACCAGAAAAGTCAAATAACTTAAAGGAAGGCAGTGAGGTGATTCTGATTAAGCTGTTGAAGTGACTGACTTCACTTTGTTTGTTTTCCTTTATGACAAATTGAGTCAATTTGGAGAAATAGAATCTCTGCTATTTGCCTGCTGTATATATTAACTTAGTTGAGTGAGATCAATAAGACACAAAGAAAACTATCAAATCAGTGCAAGGTAATAAAATCAATGCACAACTGTAATGTCATTAACGACACTAGGAACTCTTGTTAGGACTTCTAGAAAGTACACAGTAATCTTCAGAGAGTCAAAATTTACTACATAGAAATTAGAATTTGTGATAACCTCATAACTTGTGGGAAAGAGCTGTATGTCATCCAGGCTCTAAGTGCAGAAGATAATCATTAACAATTGTACAAAAGCAATCCAGTACCAGCAAAATACTTGTACCAGATATGGGAATGGTATACACAGCTTTTGTAAACAAAATAAATACTTAGTATGTTTCTCAGAACCAAGTAGATATACGTCAAGAAAAGCTGCAAGCAGTGGATTATCAGTTGTGTAATCCTACAAGACAGGTGTGTGCACTGTAAAAGGGACATATCTGGGGTAGCTTTGCTGGCAGTCAACACAAGGGAGCTGTCACTGTGCACCATCATGAAGGGCTAGCAAAATGTGTAACAGCAGGGGGAATTAATACTGTCATTTCTGCATGCAGTGACTTTGGGGATTAGGCAGGGGATTCCTTGCTGTATGGAAGTACAGATATTGAGGCACCATTCATGACAGTAGCATCAAAGGGGAATCTTGGGTCTCTTGGTATTAATGATAAGGACACTTGGCATCACACGTATGGGTAGGTGACAACATTGTCTTCAGCGCAAGTAAAACACAAAGCTATGATGGTACTTGGAATACTGGCCATTAATACTGTACTGTCTCCAGCAAATATATTGAATTTATCTTCTATTGGTTCTACTCATTTCCTTTGGAATATAAAATAAAGTTCAAGGTTTTGGGCTTGAGGCCAGCATATCTGATTGTCCAAAGCGCTGCCATTTGACAGTAATGTTCAGCAGCTTCATTCATCTACAATTCATATACATTAAATTACCTGTCTAAGAAAGAGACCTTTCTCAGACACCGGGCTGAAGACCAATTCTACAGACCAAAGAAGCTTTGCTTTATGCTGTAAGGCCTTGTCTTCACTACAAACACCCAGATCAAGAGAAACAAAGACAGCTATTGACCAGGTTTCTTCCCTTTAGGAAAAGGTTGGTGGGACAACTCCTTTACAGCAGAGCTGATCGCAGAGCTGGAGGCTCTGCTCCGCAGTGGGCTGCTGCTGCTGGCTGTCTTTTGTGGCTCCGATGCACAACTGAAGAGTACTGAAATTCAGCTGGGAAATCAGCGCTGCCTGCACGGAGCCTCACTATCACTGCAAAGACCGCCAGCAGAAAGGAAAACCGACAGCATTTCAACACAACCTAAGCTATCTCCAGCGTGCACCAAAAGCAGGGAATCGGCAACACCAGCAGGCGCGCGCTGTGACGCTCGTTTCTATACCCGCAACGGCGGGGCTCCGAGAAGTCAAGAGCGGCACCCACGCACCTTGAAGGAATCTTTACACACAAACAGCTCCGCGCGCAGCTGAGTCCCAGGCGGGCACGAGGCGGTGGGCACGAGGCTGCCGCCTGGTCAGCCTGACGGACCGCGCACCGCCCAAACACCACACGCGGCGGCCGCCGAGCACCGACCCGCCCCTCAGCTGCTGCGAGCCGCCGTCGGCACACCCCTTTCCGCCGGAGTGACGCATGCGTGCTAGGAGACGGAGTGTAAGTCTCCATTTTGTGTTAATTTCCTTCCGGGTGCTGCTGTGTTTTCCAGCGAGAGGAGAAGGAGGAGGAGGAGGAAGAGGAGGAAGAGGAGGAAGAGGAGGGGGCGGCTGCTCTTGGGAGCTGGGTGGGAAGCGCCGTGCTGTTCTGTGTGCCGTTACTCTCAGGGCTGAGCGCTGCACCTGCGGCGTTACCCGCCCCGCGCTGGGCTGCCTCTCCGCTCCCTTGTTCTCCCCCTTTTTCCTCCGAGCTGGGCGCTCTGAAATTGTTTGGATGTGTTTCGCACTGGTTTCCTGGCTGGGAAATCTCAGGTGCCTGGGCACAGCCCCTCGCGTGGGGCGGCTGGGGTGGGTGAGGTGCGTGCAGCCCCTCGTGCTCCGGAGGATGGCACGTGGCTGAGGCACGGCTCTGCAAGTTCGTGATGAATCCCTGAAGAAACGACTGGAATCTTAACGGGAGATGGGAGGGCAAAGTAGTTTAGTTGCCTTTTGTAGGAGGAAAAAAAAAAAAAAAAAAAAAAAAAAAAAAAAAAAAAAAAAAAAAAAGATACTGTGAGAGGTGTTCAGCTCAGAGGTGGTCAGCTGCAAGCTGCGCTTGCTCTGAAGAAAGGAGAAAAATGACCCTTTAAATGACTTTAAATGACCCTTTTGGGAATGTTTGTAGATAACTTTAAATGATGATGATGTTAAAAAGAGGAGAATATGAAGTACAATTCGAAGAGCTGCACACAGTGTGTTATCTGAAGGCAGGTTTCTCATTAACTTATTTCCGTATGCTGGATGTCAGTGATTCAAATAAAACATTCTGGAATACGTCCTGAGATCTCGGCTGCTTAATTTGAAATTGAGTCACAGAAATGCCTAGTAGAAAAAGTGCATGAAACACTTAACCTTTTTCCTCAGGGCAGGATGTCTGTTATCTCCAGCACATAGGAGCTGCCTTGATTTCATAACCTGAGTTTGTATTTCCCCTCAAATGCATTTTTAATTTTTCTGAGTGTTCTTAAATCTTTGAGTGATGGTGGGGAACCATTTCTGCTTTTAAAAGTTGCATTCTGTGTGCTGGAAAATGCATGCACATTGCTTTGCTGCCTTTGAGTGCTAGGTGTGGTGTGCTCATAAAGCTGAATTTGGTTCAGTTGTCAATTCTGGCACTTACTAGGAGACCTTCAGCTGTGTTCCTTTGGTTTGTGTGTGTTTTTTTTCCCCCTGCTTTTGAAGATGGGTTGGTAATGTTTGGGCAGAACCGCTGTTAATTTCATTTAATATTTGCTGTATAGCACTTCTTTAGTCAGTTCTTACTAAAGCTCTTCAAAACATGCGCTTTGTATTAATGCTATATTGTTATTATAACCTTGGGGAATCCCAGAAGAGACAGCAACACCCAAAAACTGTAGAGCCTACCTGTTCTGTTTTTATTTCTTACACAAAAGCTTTTTTTAGTTGAGTCAATTTTTCAGACATTCAACTTTCTGTCATTCTGTTAGCACCATTAGGTGTGTATCTCTAGGTGAGTTGCAGTGAGAAGAGTGTTAAAGTAAAGCTGGTGTAGTAGTCAGAAATTTAGGTTGATAGCCTTGGAATTTTATGCTTGCAGCTTCTGTTGACTTTATTAGTGACCAAGTTAATGCTTTTACGTTTTGGGAAAATTGGCAGATACAGGAATGATAGTGGAAACAATGGCTTGGGTCAACTCATATAATTTCAGGTTGGGAATAGGATTATCCCCTTGTCTTGCATATTATAACTGTGTGTGTACTTTATAGGATTTGCAGTTTCACAGTTACAGTGTATAATCCTGTCATATTCATTTTGTCATCTGTCACACGAATCCTTTTGTGCACTTGCAGTAAATAGAATTACTGAATTTTGTGAATGTCATTCTTTCTTCTCTGCTGTGATAACAGATTTATTTATTTCCATTACAAATACATAAAATTACACATGTAGATGTAACTGCCTTTCTCAGAAAGTTGAAAATATTGCCACTTTTCAGCCTTGTCAGCTGATCTGTGTATAGAATGTGTGCATATTAACAGCTTCAAACAAATCAGGAATGTTTACTGCTAAGTGGCCCAAGTATTGATTATTAAGTTGGTGACAAAGCTTGCGTTGACTTCTACAGCTCAAGTTGTAATATTACAATTATTCTTAAATAGGAGCTTCTTATTCCCAATGAATTTGGTGCCAGTCTATAAGCAGTGTTTTTATTTTGTGCATTATGGTTCATTCTTTTACCTGATTTTAATTTGTATTCCCAATCATCTGTATTATCATCATCTTTTTTGTTTTAATTATAGCTTAAACATCTTGTTTATCTTAGCATGGATTCGTTGCACTTACATTTCAACTATTCTTAGAAGGTTGCATATTTTTGTTGCTTTGCTATTCCCATTAGCAGTAGGAGAAGGTGCACACCTTAGAGAAGTTTTTAATGAATTATATTTGGTCATCCAAAGTAAGTATAAAATGAGGATATAAGGAACTGCTTCACAACCTTCATCAGTTTTAAGTTTTACTAGTAAAATTGCAACTTGCTTTAGTTGAACTTGATTCCCATGCTTTTGTTGGTTGTCTCTGCAAGTTGGAACTGGTCCTGTTTATGGCTCTCCAGTTGATGTGGTTTTACTGGTGAGTAAAAGCAGTTTTCTTGCTGTCTCAGAGGCCAGTATATTAATGACGCAGCAGCTGGAAGAGCTTCTGCAGCAGTCCTTAATGAAGGAGGTTGGGGTGGGGCGAATCAGGAGTAGATTTAACAGCTGTGTATTTTGACTGTGTGTCTACGAGGAACAGATTGGACACTTGCTGCTTAAAAGAAGTCTCCTCTTCATAATTCAGGCACTTATAAGGGAAATCCTGTACCATAAATGGATCCTAAGGGCATATTCAGTAAAATGTAATACTTCAGTGAATGGTGTTGGACCAATACTTCAGTATTGGACCAGGAGGGCTGAGGTTATCTTCAGAAAGGGTAGGTAGGTTCCTGCAGGTGGTTCAGGATGGCAGTAAAGACTGTTTCTGAGTAGGTAAAGGAGCTGTTTGTAATCTTGTGGTCCAAAATAGAGAAAATGTTTATTTATGTCTCGCAATTAGAAGTTTTTGATGTTAATCAGAATATGTTTTTCTCCCAGTGATACCTAATACTCCTGTTACAGCTCACCAGACTTGCAGTGTAATGCATCTAGTTGAGGAGCTCCTTTCATCTATCAATATTCCAAAGTACAGATTTTCTGTATTTGCGCAGTAGTGCTGCCTGTTATTGGATCAAAATAAGACTGTGACTTAGGGTAGCAATAGTCAAAAGCATTTAAATTAATTCTTCTGAAGATTTTTTTTCATTTATTTTTTTTATCCTTAGCATTTGCACAGATTTGTGAAGGCTTTAAGTTTCTAAGGATCTGATATTGGCCTTGGAAGGTATTGGGAAATCACTGCATACTGACTTATTTGTCCTGTTCACTTTAATGGCATTATGCAAGTACTGAAAATTAGGTACCATCTTAACTGGTGTGCTGGATTAATGTGCAAGTCTTATCTGAAAAACAGAGACAATGAATGCATGTTAGAAAGCACTAGGTAACATACAAGGCTCAAATTTTCATTCAGTTTATATTAAGACTGGAAATCGGTGTTCTGTTAATAAGAACAGTGTTGTGATGCCCTGGACTGATGGTGTGTGAAGTATTTGATAGTTTTTTTGGATGGGGCAATCAGTTTTAAATGACATTTATGCTTTATTGTTGTTCTTAATAGTCGCTAAAATGAAATGGTGCTGGATTTTCTGTGGTTTCTTTTTGTCATTATTTTGTTCTGTTTGATGCTGTACCTGATTTGTACTGCCTTCTTGATATTCCACCTTCAAAAACATTCATTAATTTCATATGCTTTACCCATGATCTTTGGCATCTCAATGAATCAAAACCTGTACCTTCATTACACGCTTATTTAATATACAGCAGCAGAGTAACCAAGCTGACAAGTCTTTAGATTCTTATGTGAAAGGATTTTGAAATTACACTTGCAGGGAAATACATGCGTCCTTTTTATTGTGCGAGGACATCTAATGATTTCAGGCTTCCAGTCTCTTTTTAGTGTATGTATTGTTATTAAATATTTAAGAATGATACAGTTGTGATGCATACTATTTCAGAATAGCAGAATTTTATTCATTATGGAGGAGTTTTCAGGTCAAATTTTACTTGAAAACATCCAGTTTTGGAAGGAAATAGGAGGAGAGGACATAAAGGAGCTTGTCCAAATATAAGGTTTAAACATCTCTTCCATCAGCTTTGTTTAGGGAGGTGCTTTGCTGAGGAAAATATGCATTCATATTTGAGACATTAGGTGTGTGTATTTATGGGGAAGTCAAAATACAAACGTGCACATCTTAAATCAAGTGTTAATAGCCTCCCCAGCATTCGGTAGAAAACTTCATGACCTTAGACCACAGTCTATGCCAGCTTTCACTGAAGAGATACTTAATTTATCTTGTAGCAGCAGTGATATTACTTCATGAAATTATTGCTTTTTTGGACTGTTGCTGTATGTAGATTGACTACTATTTTTGGTTCAGTTACCATTACACATTTGTATGAGAGTAGCCATTTGTTTATTAGGTAAGAACTATTACACAATAAACTAATAAATATTCTAAAGCTATTAATTATAATGGATGTTAACTGTATAATATAGTAAGTATTGAGATTTTTCATATAATAAATAATTATAGATACATTGTATTTGCTGTGTACTGAATTTGGGAAGGAGGTGTTCTTGGCAGTTGGACTGTAATCCTTTGTTCATTGTATGTAGGTCATTCTGAAAGTAATGCCTCCTATTTATTTTCCTGGAAACGGCAACAGATACAAAAAGCACAATAACACTGTTTGATAGAGCAAATCCTCAGCTGCAAATGACTGTTTTTCAGTATAGTCACTACCGTTGGCTTTATGCATTCTGCAGTGATGAACAAGAGCCTGCACGCTTATGGGTGGAAGGGTG